TGCAAGATCACCACCTGGAGTGTCAGTGATCATGAGAAAAGTAAGGAATCATCCTAGAATTACACTTGAGGATCTTGTCAATGATCTCCAGGCAGCTGGGACCACAGTCACCAAGAAAACAATTGGTAACACACTACGCCGACAAGGACTGAAATCCTGCAGTGCCTGCAAGGTCCCTCTGCTAAAGAAAGCACATGTCCATGCCCGTCTGAAGTTTTGCCACTGAACATCTGAATGATGCAGAGGAGGACTGGTTCCATCGTTTGATGGAAATGAAAAATTATAACCCTACAAAGAGGACTGAATTCAAAGACACCCTGAAAATCAGAGTGAAAAAATTATGCAGCAGGCTAGTCCATTTTGCAGAAATTTCATTGCAGCAACTCAAAATGGTACTCAGTAGTTTGTATGACCCCCACGTGCTTGTATGCATGCCTGACAACATCGGGGCATGTTCATAATGAGACGATGGATGGTGTCCTGGGGTATCTCCTCCCAGATCTGGACCAGGGCATCACTGAGCTCCTGAACAGTCTGAGGTGCAACCTGGCAGCGTCGGATGGACTGAAACATGATATCCCAGAGGTGTTCTATTAGATTTAGGTCAGGCGGGCATGAGGGCCATTCAATGGTATCAATTCCTCCATCCTCCAGTAACTGCCTGCATACTCTTGCCACATGAGGCTGGGCATTTGTCATTCACCAGGAGGAACTCAGGACCCACTGCACCAGCGTAGGGTCTGATAATGGGTCCAAGGATTTCATCCCAATACATAATAGTAGTCAGGGTGCCATTGTCTAGCCTGTAGAGGTCCATGGATATGCCTGCCCAGACCATCACTGACCCACCACCAAAATGGTCATTTCTGAGAGCCTCTTGCTTCAATTTAGATCTGGCTGGAGCTCTTAGAGCCCTCCCCATTTTTATAACCACGCAGGGGAGAGGGCAGAGCTAGCATTAGCCCTTCCCTACCTGGGCAGACTAGCTAGCTCAGCTAACATAGAACCCACACCTGTAGGCAACCTGCCTACAAACCTAGGCTTTTAGTACAGTAGCTGGGGGCTTTTTTTGGTTCTTTTGCTCCTAAAATGCATACTGGTTATCTTATTTCTTCCTTCTGTACATTTTTCCTATGCTCTGAAAAGGCACAATGTTTTGCTGTGATATTATAATACACTGCATAGATAACCTTCAACATATCACATTGTGCTATAATGTCTTCTACAGTATATGACATTGGCTTCTTGTACTGTATTTTACTATGTAACATAATGGAATATTGTACACAGTATGTGTACAATCCATCATTGCTAACATTTTATACCAGCTTACATGTATATCCTTCTATATACCCACATGGAAGAACAATATATCTTTTAAAGTGCATATGAACACAGCCGGTTAATATGCATGGAAGCAATAGGACAAAAGGCAGTTTGCTTTGTCTTGTATTGGGAATGCAGTGTATTGTGAATGGGACCCCATGGTGTTACTCTGGAGAGTGGGTGAGGACATTGCTGTCAGTATGGGGGTTGTGGGTAAGGAGATACAGTTATTTCGGTAGCTATACCCATATGGAAGAAAATATATTTGAAATACATTTTAAAAATATTCTTCCCAAATGTATTTTTAAAAATATATTTTTCATATATTTTTTGTAATAAAAACGCATTTCAACATGCAGTTATATATATATATTTACTGAAATATATTTTGAAATATATTGAATATGGTCAAAATTGTAGTATTTCAAATATATGGCAATCTATTTGGGAAGAATATTTTTAAAATATATTTCAAATTTTTCTTCCATATAGGTATAGCTACTGAAATAACTGTACCTCCTTACCCACAACCCCCATACTGTGATCTAATAGTCATAGGGACAGCAATGTCCCTCACCCACTCTCCAGAGTAACAGCTTGGGGTCCCATTTACAAATAGGCTGCATTCCCAATACAAGACAAAGCAAACTGCCTTTTGTCCAGTTGCTTCAGTGCATATTAACGAGCTGTGTTCATATGCACTTTAAAAGATTAGGACATGTTGCATTTTTTGCATAGTGCGTTTTGGACCACTAGAACGCATGGCAACTTGCTTCGATGCATAACAAATTAAGTCTAAAATAAATAAAACACCACAAAGCATGTTAGCAATGACCTGCACATTTAAAACGTACACCATTGTGTGTTATGCACACTATAGTGGGTGCACTGCAGTAAGAATGGGCCCTGTGCCACAAAGCATTCATCTGCTAATACTTTTCATCAGGGTGGATTTGATTTAAATCAAACTGATTTAAATCACGATTTAAATCACTAGTCAGTAAGGCTTGATTTAAATCCTAGTTTTCTACATAAAGACTAATTCTTGCTGGTATAACTTTAATATGCAAGTAGATGAAGATTTTTAGAATAACAACTTTTCATATTCGTTTTTTTATCCCCAGTTTAATAGGTTAATCATTCATATTTGGACAACTTTTCTGTTGTACTTAGGAAGGAGAAAAATAATTATTACTTTAATAATAATAACAATTTAAATAGATTTATTCATCTGAAACAATAACATTCCAGCATATGTTATTTGCTTAAACAAACACCCATGTTTGGTAACTAATTTGGCTAAACAAAATATATATATTTTAAGAAACTTAGACTGTCAGCCCCTTCCTCCTCACACTTAGTTTCACTTTCTTCTTGTGCAGATCTATTCCACTCCAAACAATCAGAAAAATATTGTTTCTATTCTATTCACTGAACTTCTTGAAACTTAGCACTGAAGGCGTTGATTCTGTATTCATAGGTTTGTAGAAGTTAGGATTAAGGTCTTTTTCTTAACTCTGTTCATGTTATAACATTTTTGCTGTGAAGAAGAGGCATGTGATCTCCGCTGAGTCAAATTCAGTTTTGAAAACTGCAAAAGTAAACCAAGCATCTGTGATAATATCTTGTAGGCAGAGAAACTGCCCAATAATCTTACAAAAATCTCCGGAAGAGCATGACATTGTGAATGGATTCATGGAATTTATTTACCAAAACAATTAAACATATACAGCCTTATTCTACATAATTAAAAAACTAATCTTTATTTCATGATGGAATAACCTTTGGATGGTAATATATTTTCCTCAAAAAGCATTTTATTTAAAAAAAATCTGATTTAAATAAAAAAAATCCAATTTTAAATAAAAAAAATCTGATTTTTTTAATTGGTTTAAAAAAAAAAATCATTGATTTTTATCCACCCTGCTTTTCAGACATCATCACACTCTCTCTCTACATTATAACACCTATATGCCTAATTTTTTTACTCATATTTTGTGATCACTTTGAAAAGTGACATGAGGTTGATCACTTTTCAGAGGCATTTGACAGGTGGCATGAAGGTGATATGTTGTCTTCCCACTGCCTACTGAAAGCCCACAGCCCCATGTATTTGAATGGGTCACACCTGGTGCCAAACGTGACAGGTTTATGATTTTCACATTGCAATGTGTAAAGCCCTCTAGTGTAGATAGTTTTTTTTTTTTTCGTGTATCGCTAGAGGCTTGCTAGCAGCCTGGGCGTGAGTCAGCATGGTTACTTCAGGTTAGGGCTGGAGAGCTCTATAGATCAATTCCCTGTTACCTCCCTTTGCTCTAGGGACTTGGAGATGTTTCTGGAAGCCAGTGGGTAGAGGTGAGGGGGGGCTGATCTGCATATTTATGGAAGTCTGCCCAATTCCAGGCAGGAGGCCTGGCAGTGTGGGAGATCAGCCCATGGACATAAGAGAGCCTGGCCAGCAGGAAAGTTGGGAGGAAGATGGAGTGAGGAAGTGCTACTGGTGTGGGGTCCGGAGAAGGGGGGTCTAGCTACAGGCTGGAAAGAGGGACCTACACTGTTCTACAGTCCGCTGAGGAAGGACAGCCTGAAAGCAGCTTCAGCTTTAAAGCTACAGGAACAGGACAGTGTGCGTATCTCTACACCCCCTGGGCCTACAAGAGAGAGGGTAGTCAGGTGTCATACCCAGCTGATTCTCCCGGGAACAGCATTCTTATGTGTCTCGGAATTCCTTGCCCTGGGATACTCTTCATGACTGCCAGGTGGATGAGGAGAATTTCATCTGGGGTCTGAAGAAGGTTTATTTAAGAGGACTGAGTGCTCCTAGTAAGGACTGTGAGAGAAGAGCCACTCTAGAGGGAGTAGAAAGTCCAGGATCTCATTTTTTTTCTGCTTTTTGTACATAGGAAGTTTATCCTCAAAGTTGTCTCAGTTCCATTGGGCATCCCATATACCCCTAGAGCCCATCCAAGTTGTTTAACTCCTAATAAAACAATAAAACCAAGCTCATGGACTGTTTGCTGACTTTGGATGTAATAGTGGAAAATGCGTGTTGCCTGGCTGTGCAGGAAAATAGGGGGACCCAAAAGCAGCGGCTTTCAGGATAGCTATACACATGCAACAACCACAGCAATGTGTACTAACATGACTGTTGACCATGTTAAAGTGGAACTATACTTACCTTCACTCTAGCACTGCAGTGATCTCTCTCCCTGTCGGCCATTGACATCTTCGCCTGTTCTTTTTCCAGGTTCCCTGAGCTACACATGTGGACAGGCAGGTAAGAAACGTTAATGCAGAAGAGACATAGTGCACCCCAGACCTCTGAGAGTGAATTCACAAATCCATGAGACCTGATGGGGACAGTTGATGTAAGGGGGCACTCTGATGGGGACAGTTGATGTAAGGGGCACTCTGATGGGGACAGTTGATGTAAGGGGGCAATCTGATGGGGACAGTTGATGTAAGGGGCACTCTGGTGAGGACAGTTGATGTAAGCTGGACTCTGATGGGGACAGTTGATGTAAGGGGGCACTCTGATGGGTACAGTTGATGTAGGGGGTCTCTGATGCAAACAGTTGATGTAAGGGGGACTCTGATGGGGACAGTTGATGTAAGGGGGCACTCTGAGGGGGACAGTTGATGTAAGAGGCACACTCTGATGTGTACAGTTGATGTAAGGGGGATACTCTGATGTGGACAGTTGATGTAAGGGGACACTCTGATGGGGACAGTTGATGTAAGGGTACACTCTGATGGGGACAGTTGATGTAAGGGCACACTCTGATGGGGACAGTTGATGTAAGGGGCACTCTGGTGAGGACAGTTGATGTAGGGGGGACTCTGATGGGGACAGTTGATGTAAGGGCACACTCTGATGGGGACAGTTGATGTAAGGGCACACTCTGATGTGTACAGTTGATGTACAATCTCCTAGATTGTAAGCTCGAAAGAGCAGGGCCCTCGATCCCCTCATGTTTTGCATTGTATTGGTATTGTTCTGTCACATGTTCTGTCCCCCTTTGTAATGTACAGCGCTAAGCGAACTATTGGCGCTTTATAAATACTGTATAATAATAATGATGTAAGGGGACACTCTGATGCGGACAGTTGATGTAAGGGGACACTCTGATGGGGACAGTTGATGCAAGGGGCACTCTCTGGTGAGGACAGTTGATGTAAGGGGGCACTCTGATGCGGACAGTTGATGCAAGGGGCACACTCTGATGCGGACAGTTGATGCAAGGGGCAAACTCTGATGCGGACAGTTGATGCAAGGGGCACTGTGGTGAGGACAGTTGATGTAAGGGGCACTCTGGTGAGGACACCTGATGTAAGGAGGGACTGTTATAGGAACTTTGATGTAAGGAGGAACTCTAAGAAGAACTCCTGATATAAGGAGGGACTCTGTTAGGAACACCTGATATAAGGGGGCACTGGTTCTGTTTAATCACCCTAAACTAATGACAGCATTCCCAGTACACTCCTGCACCATCTCTGCACTTCCTGTAAGATGTTACATCCAGGTTATGACTCCGTGGTACAAAAGTGTGTCAAGTGAACAGGGAATACTGGTTCCATGCATCCCTGTCACACTACTGACATTATGCACCTGACTTTTTTACTGCACCCTCATATCAGACAGGCTAGATCCGGCCCTGGTGCAATTTTTTTTTTACTCAAGTTCCACTTTAACTTGTGGCTTGGCAGTCGATAAAACCGCAGCTCAGCAGTCTGCTTTTACGCCCCTTCAGCTGCCCATGTACAAAAGGCAAAAGGGTACAAATTTTCAGTATGTCCCCTATTGGTGTCTTTGCTCTTCCTGTACAACTCCAACCAATCGTGTACACCAGAAGGCTCTGGGAAGTATAACTCTGTTTCCCAGATCATGTTCTCCTGCGCTTAGATGGGCTTGTCTTTACACATGTTCAGAGTATCTAATCTGCTCCTGAACACACAGAATTCTATTTTCTCTAAACACAGCCAAACTGAATGCCCTTAAACACAGGTAAACGCATGGTGTGAGCTATACAAAGTAGGGCTTATTCAGACAACTGATTAAGCCCATCCTCTGTGCAGAGCTGCTGGCAGATGTGTGTGCATTTATCTCGGAGCTGCATGCAGGTAGCCCATAGAAGTGGATGCACTTGCGGTGGCTGCATGAACACAAAGGCTTGTCAAAGTTTCACATGCAGACAGGAGTGCATGCACAGATCCAAATCCAGACACTGTGCGTTCAAATCTGTTCACCCGCTCCTGATCACGTCAAAATTTGAGGGCCAGTTCACACCAGAACCTGGTTCGGGAAACCCCCGTTTTGTGTGCGTTTCCCACACCACGTTCAAAACGCGCTGCACTTGCGATCTACAGTTGGTGTCAATGATAACTTACCAATACCCCAAATGCAGGTTGCAAACACACTAGTACTATGCAATGCGATAGCTGTGCGTTTTGTGTTGCAGTACATTTGGTGCAGTCCAGTGCTATTTCAGCCTATTTAAATAAATGGTCTGAAATCGCACTGCACCAGAGGAAGACTGGAAGGCAATCTAGCCATTCATGGCTACCTGCTCCCGGAATGTGAAAATTCCTACAAAGCCCTCATGCGCTGGTATCTGACTCTGATCGTATCTCTGAATTTGTTCCCAGACATTCCTCTCTCTGTTTCCGGCTCTGTGGACAGGAGGGCACAATGGCCCACATATGGTGGACCTATCTGAAGGTCCGCCAGCTGTGGATTAGGGTGTATACACTGACTGACACGCTTCTGCACTGTAATCTAATGAAAGACCCGGTTGAGGTCTTCTATGGGTTAAAAAAAAAAAAAAGCCTATATGGGTTGTACACAAAATGCAGGCCAAACGTATTACTTTCACTTTCATTACCACTAAGCAAACTATTGCCCACTCTCAGAAGTCTCATGGTCAAAGAGAAATTAACGGCCATATTGGAAAGCAAATATTATTTTTATTATTATACAGGATTTATATAGCGCCAACAGTTTGCGCAGCGCTTTACAAAATGCAAATATGACAAATTCCTGAAAATCTGGTCTCTGTGGATAGATTATTATCAACCAGACCAGAGGGCACTGCAATTATAACCTCTCCTCTCCTGGGTGTGGGGTTGAGGTCTTAGGCTAGTGGGGCATTCCGAGGCTCTTTCTTCCATCTCTCCCTCCTTCTTTTCCTCCACTTCTCTCTCCTTATCTTTTTTTCAACCTTTACTCCCCCTTCTTTTTCCCCCCTCCCCCCAGTGTTTTGGTTTTTCTTTGCTTTGTTTTTGTCCTTTTTTTCAGTTACTCCAGAGCAGGGTGGATTTGATTTAAATCAAGCTGATTTAAATCCCTAGTCAGTAAGGCTTGATTTAAATCCTAGTTTTCTACATAGACTAATTCTTGCTGGTATAACTTTAATATGCAAGTAGATGAAGATTTTTAGAATAACAACTTTTCATATTTGTTTTTTTATCCCAGTTTAATAGGTTAATCATTCATATTTGGACAACTTTTCTGTTGTACTTAGGAAGGAGAAAAATAATCATTACCTTAATAATAACAATTTAAATAGATTTATTCAACTGAAACAATAACATTCCAGCATATGTTATTTACTTAAACATCCATGTTTGTTAACTAATTTGGCTAAACAAAATATATATATTTTAAGAAACTTAGACTGTCAGCCCCTTCCTCCTCACACTTAGTTTCACTTTCTTCTTGTGCAGATCTATTCCACTCCCAATCAGAAAAATATTGTTTCTATTCTATTCACTGAACTTCTTGAAACTTAGCACTGAAGGGGTTGATTCTGTATTCATAGGTTTGTAGAAGTTAGGATTAAGGTCTTTTTCTTAACTCTGTTCATGTTATAACATTTTTGCTGTGAAGAAGAGGCATGTGATCTCCGCTGAGTCAAATTCAGTTTTGAGAACTGCAAAAGTAAACCAAGCATCTGTGATAATATCTTGTAGGCAGAGAAACTGCCCAATAATCTTACAAAAACCTCTGGAAGAGCATGACATTGTGAATGGATTCATGGAATTTATTTACCAAAAAAAATTAAACATACAGCCTTATTCTACATAATTAAAAAAACTAATCTTTATTTCATGATGGAATAACCTTTGGATGGTAATATATTTTCCTCAAAAAGCATTTTATTTAAAAAAAATCCGATTTAAATCAAAAAAATCTGATTTTTTTTTTTTGATTTTTTTTAAAAAAATCATTGATTTTTATCCACCCTGCTCCAGAGTGTAACCATGTCCATATATACACCCTTTTGTGTTATGGTGAGTCACACTGTAGAATCCTTTACTAGAAGGGTCTTTTTCTTCCCTCCTTTGGCCGAACACCGTTCCCTGATCTTCTCCAGGTCTGGTGTGTTATCCTTTATTGTATGACTCCCGATTATGGACTTGTGGGCCAGCAGAGTCCTACGTGTTTCTGTTGACATTTGATATCGGTATTAGGGCGATGTGGCCCTTCATGTTAATTACAAAAAACCTCCTGCGCTCACAAGGACTCCTACCCTATAACCATAAGTTGCTGACACTAAGCTTCATCAGGCCCTGATGAAGTCACGAAGTGGGCGTGACGCAACTAGTCGGTACGTGGGGAGGAGCTTCCGGTAATCGTGGTGACGTCATTTCCGGCGTGGGGGCCATATTGGAACACCCTGTGTATTACCCATGCAGTATACCCATAGCATGTGGTAGGAGGCTGGAAGATTCATCGTTTTGTGAGTGGAAATCTACTTTTTATACCTATTACCAATAAAATTACTGGTTGCACTATGGAGGGTCTCTGCTTGTGTCTTACTATGACCCTGGGAGGAGCTGGCTGCTAAACTGGTGGACGCTGGAGGAGGAAGATATTTTCTAGAGAGTGATCCATACTGATAGGATCGTGTGATCCTGAAAGCGTGCTGGCCCCTTGGGGTCTAAGGAAGGAGGTGAGGGGGCATTTTGGCTGTTAAGGATTGTCACGTGTGCATCACGTACACTGCACATAATTTTGCATGAAGAGTGGAGTGTGAAGTTCATCATTAAGCACAGCATCATCAGTAATATTATTATTAACTTTGGACTTTTCTCGTATTTGAACTATCATTTATTCCTTTGTGCACTTTTTGTGTGGCACTGTTTATTATTAGTATATATGTTATTATAGTATATATTACTTTATTTTCACGTTTTTGCACGAGATATTCCCCATGAGGGAATACATGCATGACACTGTATATGTATTGAGTATCTTGGATTTATTTTGGGGATTGAGTATATATTGTATTACGGTTCTATTAGATACTAATTAGCGCTGCACTCATAATTTTTGCACTGGCCCTTCATGTTGCATCCTGTGCATTTTCTTTTTTCTCCTGTTCTATGTTTTAGTAGTTTTGTAAACCTGCATTAAAAAAAAAAATTATTATTTATTTCAGGTACTTGTATATTCAATTTAAACAGCGCTTTACATATATATTATAATTATTATTATACAGGATTTATATAGCACCAACAGTTTGCTCAGCGCTTTACAATATAAAGGGAGACAATACAGCAACAATACAAGAGGGTTAGGAGGGCCCTGCTCCTTGGAGCTTACAATCTAAGAATATACAGGTGAAACTTGAAGAATTAGAATATCGTGCAAAAGTTCATTTATTTCAGTAATGCAACTTAAAAGGTGAAACTAATATATGAGATAGACTCATTACATGAATGGCCTTTATATATACACACACATTAACATCAGTCCCTAACGCTCAAGGGGTGTAAATTGAAGCAAGAGGCTCACAGAAAAGGATGTAACCCTTTACAGCAGGGATGTCAAACTGGCGGTCCTCCAGCTGTTGCGAAACTACAAGTCCCATCATGCCTCTGCCTTTGGGAGTCATGCTTGTAACTGTCAATCTTGCAATGCCTCATGGGACTTGTAGTTTGGCAATAGCTGGAGGGTTGCCAGTTTGACACCCGTTATCTAAGGCCCCTAACTTACATTCATACATACACATACTAAGGCCAATTTAGACAGGATCCAATTAACCTACCAGCATGTCTTTGGAATGTGGAAGGAAACCCACGCAGGCACAGGGAGAACATGCAAACTCCAGGCAGGTGGTGCTGCGGTTGGGATTCGAACCAATGACCCTAGTGGTGCTGTGGATGGGATTCAAACCAATGACCCTAGTGGTGCTGTGGATGGGATTCAAACCAATGACCTAGTGGTGCTGTGGATGGGATTCAAACCAATGACCCTAGTGCTGCCAGGCAAAAGTGCTAACTATTTAGCCACTGTGCTGCCCCATTGAACCAAAAATCGCACTGCGCCTGGATTGGATGCGAATCGCACAGAAATGGACCGCGTTTTGCTGTGCGATTCATGGTGGGAACCAGTCCTAACATGTTTGTGACCGTGCAGCAACTGCATGTGCTTCC